TATCCAAAAGGCTAACACTAACAGCCCAATCAAAGAACCACCAAGACAACTCCCACCAACAGTGACAGGGCAAGCAACTAGAATATAAATTGAGAGCAAATCCCACTTCTTACTAGCACTGATGATGTTTCCAAGTTTGGGTAATGAAATGTCTGCAAGAAAACAACCAAGCTCAGAGAGCACCAAGAAAACCTTCATTCCAAATTTTGGTAGCACATTTTTGAGAGCCCACATTTTGCTCCACATAAGGTCTACAGTATGAGCATTTTAAGCTGCTCATCTATGTTGTGGGCCGCCAGTGGCCAGCAGATCTGGCAGCAGATTCAGACAGTGAGGTGGTTGGGGAGGAACATGGGCCAGTCCTGGAGTCTGGGGAAGGCTCCGATGAGGGCTCTGCATCGGAGGCAGAGAGGGAGCCAGGGCCGTATGCCAGTTATCAGCTGTCTTTGGAGTCAGACATCAGTGAGGCAGGTGAACAGCTGGAGCCTGTTTCCAGTGTGCGCATGTGCAGAGTTGCCAGATGAAGGGAACAGCTAAAGAACAAGGGTCAACTTGGGAGTAAGGCCACAGGTGGACGATGAATGGCCCCTCCCAAAGGAAATAAAAGAGGAGCGAACGGGGAGGGATGTTTGCAGGAGATAATTAGTTCATTCCTGCATTCTTGCCAAGTATTGCGGCGTCTGAAAGATATCAGCCTGGCCACACTCCAAGCCTGATAAAGGTTGGTAATTGTGGACTATCTTGAAAGACTGTGGGAGAGGAAAGACTTTGCTGGAGAGGAATTCACTGTAAATTAAATAAAAGGGGCTTATCGGGATGAGGACTCAGCTTCGCGCTGCTGGGGAAGCCTAGGTCAGAACAATCTGGGGCAGAACAACGGAAAGTAGTTTAGTACGCCCAATCCTCTTTATGTAGTACAACTTACAACCATTTGTTTAGGAAATGGTAATTCAACATTACAGTGGCACTGAAAAAAGTGATTTATGGGTGGCATCCTCAAGATCAAGTAATCAAAATTCAGGCTCTTGGCAACCAGCTTACATTTATGATGGTTGCGGCATCCCGGGGTTATGTGATTGCCATTGGTGACCTTCTAGTAAGTTTCTGGTAATCAAAGTCAGTGGGAGAGTCAGGTTAGTTTATCGGCTACGTGATTCACTTAACAACTGCTTAACAACCATGGCAAAATCAGGCACACCTCACTTAAAAGTCGCCTGGCTTAGCAACAAAAATTCTGACCTTTATTATGGCCATAAGTTGAGGGCTACCTGTACAGTATTCAGTATGAACGATGAATAATCTTCAAGCTTCATAGATAGTTATAACTGTAGAGAACTATTCCTTAATTGTTCCATCTATTTTAAAATCGGGATGAATCTATTTTTAATGCGTCATTTGTGAATGCTATTTTAGTGATAAACTAATATTCTCTGGCCTCCTTTGTTACTTACCATGTGAACATCAGTTGTATATCTTTTCTGTCCCTTCTCATTTTACAGGTAGTCAGAAATACAAAATAATGGAGTTTGAAGAGACCTTGGAGGTCTTCTAGTCCAGCTCTCTGCTCAAGCAGGAGATCCTATACCATTTCAGACAAGTGGCTGTCCAGTCTCTTCTTAAAAGCCTCCAGTGATGGAGCACTCTCGATTTACGGCTACAATTTGGTCCAAAATTTCCATCGCTAAGCAAAATACAGGTAATCCTCAATTTACAACAATTGATTTTCTGACCGTTCAAAGTTACAACAGCAGTGAAAAAAGTGACTTATGAGCGTTTTTCACAGATATGACCAGTGGTGCTCTTCAGATGGTTCTATCCGGTTCGAGCAAACTGGTAGCAGGGTTCACCCACCTGCCTGGATGTCAACACGTCCCATTTTTGACGCTCTGCGCCTGCGCAAAGCACGCTCCCATTTGCAAACCCGTAGCAAAAGTAAATGAATACCATCCCTGGTTATGACCTTCCCAGCATCCCTATGGTCGTGTGATCAAAATTCAGCTGCTTGGCAACTGGTTCACATTTATGACGGTGGCAGTGTCCTGGGATCACATGATCCCCTTTGGAGACCTTTTGACAAGCAAAGTCAATGGGGAAGCCAGATTCACTTAACAACCGGGTTACTAACTTGTCAACTGCAGTGATTAGCTTAAAAGCTAAGCGAGAAAGGTCGTAACTGAGCAACAGAAGTTTTGGTCTCCATTAAGGTCATAAGTCGAGGACTACTTGTAGTTGTTAAGTGAGTTTTGCCTCATTTTACAACCTTTCCTGCCACAATTGTTAGGTGAATCACTGAAGTTGTTACGTTAGTAACATGCTGTTAAGTGACTCTCACTTCCCCATTGACTTTGCTTGTCAAAAGATTGCAAAAGCTGATCTCATAACCGTGGGACAGTGTGGGACACTGCAATAGTCATAAACATTTGCCAGCTGCCATACTATCTGAACACACATAACCACAAGGGATGCTGCAATGTGTCAGGGTTCTGACCGATGCCCTAATTAAACCATGAGCCTCAAGCCAAACTTCAAAAGAAATCAAGTTATTTATTAGGAGCTTCATGTCAGCACAGACCAAGTGAAGCCCACTCTGAGCTCACTTAATTTGCGCTTTGGCTCTGACACTGTTTCCCCCTCCACCCAAGGTGTGTCATCAGTCACATTCGCCAATGAAGCAATTTCTCAGGTTGTAGAAGTCCCTCCATCCGGCCACTGTGGGTCTGCGTGGAGATGACCTTGACTTTGCCATCTGGAATGTGCTTTGTTTTGACTGTCACTTTTTCAGTTCTGTTGTAACTTTGAACAGTGACTAAACAAATAGTTGTAAGTCAAGGACCGCCTGTATTGCAAAGGTGCAGGGTTGCCACACAGTTCTTGAAAATAAGACAGTGAACACAGCTTTGTGTTGTGGCCCGTCAGCGGCCTGTGCAGCTAGTAGCTGATTCCGACAGCGAGGAGGCTGGTGTGGTGCTGCACCAGCAGCCTGTGTAGCTGGCACTCGAGTCAGACAATGAGGAGGCTGGAGAAGATGTGGTGCCAGAGGTGGGGATTCAGCCAGAGCCTTCAGAACCTCCAGAACCTCCTATAAGTGAAGAGGAAGAAGAGGAGGAGCCTCTTCTCGATGCACGGGCGCGCAGAGCTGCCAAAAGGCAGGAATGGCTCCTCAGGAGGAGGTCTCCTCGAGAGTAAGGCTTGGGGCTAATTGGCCACTCCCTTAGTTTATTTAAGGAAGGACGACGACAGGCAATTTGCAGGGAACAACTTCGTTCACTCTCCTTCGCGTCTGGATCTTAGTTCTCTTAGCAGTTTCCTACAAATTGCTTCTGGGCTTTCTGCCAACCATAGTAAGATTAAAATTATTTATTCTTTGGATTCTTGTAGGCTGTTAAGAAAGTTAATTAACAGCCTTTGTTTGAAAAAGACTGATTTAATTTAGTAAACTAAGGTTTGTACAGATTTTGTGTGTGCTGTGTTCTTTGGGGTCCGTAGCTGGGGCAGAACACTTTATGAAAAATAAACGCATACCCGAGATTGACCAACTCTACTTTTACAATTCTCTTATCAGAAAAGCCACCCACATTTACATTTTTATTGAGAGTTTTAACAATAATAAGAATTAATACAAACTAGAATAGAGCTAGAAAGGAGAAAGAGGAAGGGAGAAATAAAAGGAAAACCTAAACGTACAAAGGAGAAAAAGTAAGAGGAAGGTAAAAAAGAAAAGAAAAAAGAAAAGTAGAAAAAAAATACAAAGATAGATACGATGAGGTAGCTTCCAATCTTATTCACAGCAGATACAAGCACAATTATATTTTAACCTCTCTTTCTCTAAGATTACATCATGACTGTCATCTTTCTGTAGTCTGTCTTCTCTAATCATCAAAACTATAAATTGTAAGTTCATTTCTTTTCTTTTTTATGCAGTAAGTCCATAAGGGGTACTAGGAAAGCCATTTTAATGAGGTGTCATAATCCTTTTTATGGAAGACTAACTCTGATTTTATTTTATTTTTTAAAAAATGGTTTTATGCTGTTGTCAGTGGGATTTATTCCGTACAAGGGATCCATAAATCTGAGTCATTCTAATTCATCAGAAAGCCTCTTTAAATGGGTAGTTTTCAGGTTTTGCCTAAATTAATGTCGACATTCAAAATAAAACTTCTGCATAGCCATTTGCTAGTTGCATTCAGGCGAGGGATTATATTTCTTTTACAAAACATCTGAAAACATTTTAGCCTTGGCCTTTTCTTTTTTGATTACGAAAAAAATGCTGTGAGTTTTCACAACTCATGTAGATACTTCCTTGCTGAATTTTTTGAGTAACTGTGCAACTACATATAGTCCACAACATACATCTGTAATGGAGCCTGTCCATTATGGTCATAATGTAGCAATTGCCGTAAAACAAATCGGTTCTATGACCAAGCCAATTTTAGGACCTTTTTTGTGGTGGTTGTTAAATACATGTGGCAGTTGTTAAGCGGTCACTGCAGTCATTAAGTGAACCAATGGTTTGCAATGGGCACGATTCTGCCAAAAACTGGAAGGGCTAGTTTACAGCAAAATTGAAACGTGATCAAAGGCTATGCAAATGGCCATAAATGCAGTCAGTCATGTTGCCCGACTGTTGAATCTAGACCATAAGTCTCCTTTTTCAGGTTGGTCGCAACTTTGAACAGTTTTGCTAACTTCAAACAGAAGCCGTGGTGGCACAGTGATTAGAACGCAGTATTGCAGGCAAACTCTGCCCATTACCACGAGTTCGATCCTAGCCAGCTCAAGGTTGACGCAGTCTTCCATCCTTCTGAGGTTGGTAAAATGAGGACCCAGATTGTTGGGGGGCAATACGCTGACATTTGTAAACTGCTCAAAGTGTGCTGTAAAACACTATGGAACAGTATATAAGTCTAAGTGCTATTGCTATTTCCAAGTGATTGATTGTAAATCAAGAATTACCTGCATTTGACTTCACAGAAGCATACAGTCATTCCAGGAAGTGCTTCAGAAAACATGGGGCAGTTGTGCTGCAGAAAAACAAAACATACATGTTCAAGCCAGGGGTGGGTTCTACTTACCTTTACTACAGGCTCGTAGCGGGCTGCATGCATGGGCGTGTGAAGCAAGTGTGCGCGTGCACTCTTCTGCGCATGCGCAGAAGTGTTTTGATGATGTCGGGGCTGGTGGGCGGAGCCTCCTGCCGGTTTTACTACCGGTTCTATAGAACCGGTGCGAACCTGGGGCAACCCACCACTGATTCAAGCATTTGAATTTTATTTATATTGTATTTGTATTTTATTGTTATTTTTCTTCTGCATTTGAGTGGGTATGTAATATATTTTTTCAGTTTATTTCCTCAGTTCTATTTTTTTATTTATTGTATTGAAAGATAAAACTTCCCAGTTTTGTTCTAAACTTTTAAGGCAACTTGATAAGTTTTTAACATGAACTAAAGATTAAATAAAAAATAAATTGCTTTTTTTTTCTGGGGAAGCCTGAATACTAGCTGGATTCCCCCCCCGCCCAGCAGTGGGTTGTTCTTATTGGGTTTTTTTGGCATGGTTCTGCTAGGAGTGAAAAATTCAAATCTCCTCTCAAAATGATCTTCCTATTCATCCTTCTACTACCTTGAGAATAATGAATTGAACAACAATATTCAGAGTGGATATCTCTGAGAAATAATCCCCATTACTTCTTAAACCAATGTGTTATACTTTATGGCAATGTTTTGGATGACTCAGAATAACAGAGTTGGAAGAGACTTTCTAGTCTAGCCCCCTGCTCAAGCAGGAAACCCTACACCCGTGATGGAGAATCTATGGCACGTGTGCCACAGGTGGCATGCGGAGCCATATCTGTGGGCATGTGAGCATTGTCCTAGCTCAGGTCCAGCATGCATGCGCATGCCGGCCAGCTGATTTTTGGACCTTCCGGGCCCACCAGAAGTCAGGAAATGGTCTGTTTCCAGCCTCTGGAGGGCCTCTAGTGGCCCTAGAAAGCCTCTGGAGCCTGGGGAGTGTGAAAAATGGGCCTTCCGGGCCCACTGGATGTTGGGAAATGGGCCATTTCCGGCCTCAGGAGGGCCTCCAGGGGTCTGGGCCTCCCAGCCTCTGGAGCCTGGGGAGGGCAAAAAACAGACCTACCAGGCCCACTGTGCCATCACGTGCCAAAAGCATGGGGAGCGTGAGGGTTGCGCGTATATGTGCAGGGGGGCATTGAATTATGGGTGTGAGCACGTGCATGTGTGACACCCCCCTCCCGTGCTCCCCCTGCTTTTGGCACACAATGGCAAAAAGGTTAGCCATTACTGCCCTACACCATTTCAGACAAATAGTTGTTCACTCTTTGACTCCAGCTTGACTACAGTATAACACAGAATCCCTACCAAAAGGCTTCATTAACACAATTACTTACCCTGGTTACCAGCAGTGGGTTTCCAATATTCTTACCACTGGTTCACCCCAAGTGCATGCTCTCTCTTCACACGTGTGCGCACCTTCCGCGCATGCCTCAAAAACGTGGCCAAATAGGATGGCATTATTCTGGGCAGGGGGGCGGGGGGCACCCACCCCAGTCACCGCTACCAGTTTTCCCGAACCATTCTGAACCGCTGAATACCACCTCTGCTTATTACCCATTAAAGAAACCATTAACTAACAAAAAAGCCCAGATATCTGCAAAATATGAATGCATTAAGACACAAATAAGCTTAGCATTAACCAGACTCAACATTGTGTACTAACTCGATTGACCTAGATACATTTTGTAAACATGCCCATTGTGTCTTCTTCATCTTCTGCAGAAATCAGCAAATATCCTTTGTCTAAACTAGCAAAACTTGCAATAAATGATCCTGTCAGCTCTGTAAGAAGTCTGTGCTCATATATACATGCAAGGTAAACTACAGAGATAATTCCATTATCACGTCATTCTGTCTTCCCAATCCTGTCTTAAGTACTATCAATTCACACGTGACAGCTACAAAGTGGATTACAGAGCCATCTGTCTGATGCCACCAACCTAAATCCATCAAACATCTATTAAATAGGATCTCAAATTGGACTTGAACTTGGACTCTTTTCCCAATTTTGGTTAACACCTTCTACCTCTTTTATCCTATTTCTCCCCTGGCTGTACATATCAGTCACTTTGGCTTTCTCTCCACTCTTGTGACCCAATAGGAAGTTACTAAGAATCATGGGAAGTTCAATTTTGGAAGAAATAACTCATAAAAAGCAGCAGGATTTTTCCATTGCTGTAATCATCTCTCATTTCTCTTAGAACAAGTAGTCCTCCACTTACGACAGTTTGTTTAGTGACTGCTCAAAGTTATCAAAAGTATCTATTCAGAAGCTACTCATTGTTTAATGCTAGAAACACTGAGGATTTTAAAAAAATCAAGATCCTTCCTTCAAAATAAATTGTTCGTGCAGAAATTTTTGCTACCAGTTCTCCGAACCACCCGCCGCCATCGCTACCGGATTGGGTGATCCGGTCCGAACCAGGAGCATTTCACCCCTGGTAATTACCCTACCCTACAGTATGAATAAGATAACTCCCTTGAGGTTGATCAGGGGTTACGTCTAATGGTGAGCCATTCTATACAATAAGGTGACCAATCATCCTCCTTTAGGGAGGACAGTCCTTCTTTTGTAAGTTCTGTCCTCTCTCAAAAAGTGTCCTCCTACATGTCCTCCTTTTTGATATTTGAAGACTAATCTGTAAGTCTCCGTATTCGATCGATGCCAGTCCGATCTGTTGCGTGTGATGTGACGTATTTGTATTTGACATGATGATTCGTCAAGGCTCAGTACAGTGCGGTGAGACGCGATTATGAGATGCATGCGCTCCGCACAGGAGAATTGTTTTGAGAGGGTGCGCCGTGCGCAAGAGTGCGGCATGCACAAGTGGCTTTGTTTACTTCTTACCGAAACACGACACGGCGCACACGCACGCATTAGACTCATTGTTGCAATGAATAAAATGTTTCTTTTATTTACGATATTTTTTTTCCTTCCATTTTCTTTTATTTGTGTCCTCCTTCTCATTGTAAAAAAGTTGGTCACCTTATATACAATCTCCCCATTTCAATTCTGAAAGCACTTTTGCAATGGAATTCATTTTATTAATGAGTTGCCATTGATTGCTTAGGCAAGCTGAGTAGGGAAATTAGTTGTTGTTTTTTTAAAAAAAGAATAGCTAAGTTGTCCCTTAAAAATAAGGCGACGTTCTTTTCTACATTCTTCAACCCAAACTCAGTTTGGGAAGGAAGCTAATAAAAACATCATGTAACCAACTGCATGTTGGCCCACATGTCTAAATCTCATAATGAATTGGAAAGCAATGGCCTATCAGGGACTTGGCGCAAACAAATAAAAGTTAGATTTCTGTATTTATTTTCTTCTCTCCTCCAATGCAGCCAGTCAGCCTCAGCTGCCAGTTGTGTTAAGAGAATGAACAGAGACAGTAACATAATAATCTTGTAGGATTAGCCAGGGTTTGCATTCCAGTAAGAGAGCTTTACATACCATGAGATTGTGGTGGGATGTTGGCAGCTTAAGAGGAAAAAAAAAAAACCATTTGGAAGAGTGGAAAACAGCGGGAGAAAGCTGTATAAATCACAACCAGGAGTCTAGATGAGGTCAGCTGAATGGAGGCAGGGTAAAACAGGGCTTGCCAGTTCATTCTAGAAATTCCTTAAAGAATTAAAGAAAAAAGACCATGAAAGTTCAGTTACAAAAAAGGGAAACAGAGATTTCCCCCCCCCCCCAAGCAAAGGCACTTTATCTTCTGTTCTTTTTTTAATTCAAAAATTCCAACAAAGAAAATTCTTATAACCATTGTATTTTACCAGGATAGATCTCTAGCTAGGGGAAGAGGGGAAATCCTCCTATAACATCAAAAGATCTGGGTGACAAGAACTAGATGATCTTTAGATAAAGGTAAAGGTTCCCCTTGCACATATGTGCTAGTTGTTCCCAGCTCTAGGGGGCGGTGCTCATCTCCGTTTCAAAGCCAAACAGTCAGCGCTGTCCGAAGATGTCTCCGTGATCATGTGGCCTGCATGAATAATGCCAAAGGCGCACGGAATGCTGTTACCTTCCCACCAAAGATAGTCCCTATTTTTCTACTTGCATTTTTTACCTGCTTTCAAACTACTAGGTTGGCAGAAGCTGGGACAAGTACCGGGAGCTCACTCTGTTATATAGCACTAGGGATTCGAACCGCTGAACTGCCGACCTTTTGATCGACAAACTCAGCGTCTTAGCCATTGAGCCATCTTTAGATGGTGGCAAAAGGCTCGTGTTTTCTAAGCCTCTTTGCCTCCATCTAGTGGTCTTGTGGATATTTGTAGCTGAATTTGACCGTCCTATTTCATTCCTTTATTTATCCAGACACAATGCTGCGAGAGTTGAAAGTATCTTGTTTCTCGAGATTTCTTCTTTAGACATTTCTTCTTTAAATTTTCTTTGTGATTATCAGCCCCTTGTTGAACAATCCTATCTACTTTCTGAGAATGGTGATACCATAAGGACTTGGATTATTACAAGAGGAGGATATCAATCATCAGGGAGAAAAAAAATTGCTTCTTCGCCCACATTGCCAGAGGAGAAGCTGCATTAAAAATGGAATTCATTTGATTCTGTTGATGGGAGATTATGGGGATTTTCTGTACCGATGCTTCTCAATCTTCTCCACTGGGATTTTTATCTTATGAGGCTCTAACTAAGAGATTCCTATTCTAGGAGTCTGCAGATGATTGAAGAAGCACGTTGTGATGCTATGAAGCAGAACTCCAGTTTCTAGTTAGCTGAGCTGCTGCCCCATTTTGGTTTGCTTGATAACACAGAGTCGTGTACAGACAGTCCTTGACTTAACAATCACAATTGGGACTAGAATTTCCATTGCTTATATCCTCTAGTGGGATATAAATTTCTATGTTTTTATTATACACTGCCCAGATTCGCTGTGTGAGAGGGATGGGCGATTTCTAAATCTGATAAAGAAATAAATCGATAAAATAAACTCCAACTCAAACATACATCACTTTTACCTGGGGCCAGTTAGTTTTGTGATCCCTGCAAAATACTAGAACCTGGGATCTAGTTGTGTAAATCTACTTCATGCTTAATCACAATTTAATAAATAAATCACAATTGGATGGGTTCAGGAAAAACACTGAACCACAAATCATGTTGAACTAGCCACAGAGAATATGATCACACAATTTAGCAAAGACTAAGAGCTAACTGCATTATTGGCTTCGTATGTTGTCATAAGGCAACCAAACCAATTTACATTCCAGATAACCTAGTCAATAAATCACTTGACAGTGAGATGAATGGCATTATAAATTTAATTAATTAATTAATTAATTAAAATACGGACATATGTTAAGATTGGAAGGGTCTGGCCCGTGAATCTTTAAAATGGACCCAGGAGATCAAATTAAATGAAGATATTTTAAAACTGAATGAAATCAGTTGAAAACAATGGAATGGTCATTTCTTGATTGAAAGGATCTTGGTTATAAAATATTTTAAAGTGCTTGGGGAGGATAATTACATCAAATTATTGCACAGGCACCTTTCATTTTTGTGCAACTAGCTATTCTAGAACTCTATTATTGATTTATTCCCCCCAGCTTAATGTGATGTTCAGAACTAGTTAATGTCTGATTGCTTTGGGAAGGGTTAATTCATTTCTTAAATAATTTCTTTCCCAGCAGGATGAGAATCATTATGCATTAATTGGACAACCTATAAGGCCTCGAGGTTTGGCACAGGTATAAATGTACCCGTTGATTAAACAAAAACTCAAGATTAATTATTTTATATAGCAAAACCTGCTAAATTGGCTGAGCTACGTTAATTGAGAACCTTGGGTAATGACTTGGTTTAACTATGACTTTTGTTTATTTTTCTTCTTTTTGGAAAGAATGCTTCTTCCCAATGAAAAAAATATTGCCAAACTCTATCTAAAAGTTGATGAGCATTTTGGTCTTTTCATTGATGGGGACAATATCATCAAATCTAACCCCCACCACTAATGGGAAAAAGACTCAATTTTAGCTTCCAGTAGTTGTGTTTACATATCATTCTAAACCCGGGTGGACAATTATGGCACATTTAGAACCTGTAGACTTCAACTCCGAGAATTCCTGAGCCAGCCATGCACTGATGATGTTACTCAGTTTGGGTAATTAAATATCTGCAAGAAAACAAACCAAACTCAGACAGCACCAAGGACCCTCATTTCAACTCTGAGCTACAAATATTCTCCTTTACTGATATTTTATGATCAAAATGTAACACTAGTTATTTTTTCCCAAAGCTGTTGTTCTCATTGTCATCGTTGTTGTCATTATCACTGTAAATGTTGAGGTTGTGCTATACCTGAGCAAGGAATAATCTTATTAGTTTAGGTTCCCCCATTGTACATGTCCAATATTGTGTGTTAATCTTTCTGAATGGAGGCTCTCCATATCAAAAGTGTTAAGAAGTCTCTCCCTCCTGTATCATTCAGACAGAAACTACCTTCCTGACACTTAAATCCATTATTCTACAATGATAACAGATGTGAGAATAATAAGAACAATAAGAAATTTCCTCTGTGTCACATTCTTTCAATTATTTGTTGAGTGCTAGCCTATCCTCTTCCATGTCCATTGGACTTCTCAAGGGAAAACAATTCTGATTTTTCCCCACTACAAGACTTAGTTTCTAGTCTCCTCATCACTCTTGTTGCCTTTCTCTTTAGTTTATTTGGGTGTAAAGTGTGGTTTCCAGGACAGAACTGAAGATAAAAGTGGGATGTGTCCCATCTTGCAGAATAAAATAGAAAGAGGACATTTCCTGATAGAGGTAGACTATTGTGGTCCGCCAGCAGCCTGCGGAGCTGGCAGCGGAGTCGGACAGGGATGAGGCTGAGGAAGAACATGGGCCAGTCCTGGAGGCTGGGGAAGGCCCGGATGAGGGCTCTGCGTCGGAGGCAGAAATGGGGCCAGGGCCATCGGGGAGTGATGTGCAAACTTTAGAGCCTCCAGAGGCTGACAGTAGAAAGGCAGAGGAACAGGAGGAGCCTGTTCCTAGTGCATGTATGAGAAAAGCTGCCAGAAGGCAGGAGCAGCTAAAGCAGAGAGGACAACTCTGGAGTAGGGCCAAGAGATGATTGGCCCCTCCCATAAGGCTTAAAAGACCAGCAACGTCTCTTGGCCTCTTTGCCGGAAAACAAGAGCTTCGTGTTTGGATGTATTTCTTTCTTGTCAGAGTCTTCTGTTCCTGAACTGTTGCCAAGAAAAGCCTTTGGCAGTTGGCCTAATTATCCCAAGGTCAGAGATAAACTGAAAGTGTTTCGAGAACTTTGCTTTCATTTAATTTGGAATAAGCTGAGAATGAGTTAATTCTCAGCTGTTTTAATAAAATCTGTTTATTTTTTGGAACTGTTTCGCATTTAATTAACTACGTGGGCCTGGGTCACAACATAGACAAAGCTCTTCAAATCTGGAAGAAGTACGTAGTTCTGTGGATCAGGATTCTGAAAACTCTTGATGCTTTCTCTAAATATTTTTATGTTGAAATGACAGAAATAAAATTCAGGCCTTCAAGTTGTGGAAACCATTGATAAGAAGTCACAGGCATGCAGTTGATGATAACCACAAGATACGTGCACAAATATTTTTGTAACTTCTGTACCTTATCTTGTGTAAGCAGTATTCCTGTAATGCAGGCATCCTCAAATGGCCCATGGGAAAGATACGGCCCACTGAAGCCATTAATCCGGCCCATGAGGGACCATGAGAGTGCCCCACCCACATCACCCCACCCACCCGTCAGCCCCTACCCATTGGCAGAGTGCAGGACTTACCTTTGCAAGGCTAGAACTGGAAGGTAAGGCCAACGTTTTTGGCCGGCAGAGTGCTTTTGGGGGGAGAGGGAGGCCAAAAAAGGGGCAGGCAGAGGCCCTGGGACGCATCCCTGCACCCTGTTTTTGGCTGGCAGAGTGCTTCTGGGGGGAGGGGGAGGCCAAAAATGGGATGCCCCTTTTGCCAGCTGAGGAAAGAACTCGAAGATTTGCCAGGGACTTTAGTCCACCATCGCTCCGCTGGGGGAGGGGGGAACCAAAGGGTCTCAACGGGAAAGGCTGTGCCTGCCACGTAATCATGCATCGCGATCTCGTTGCGAGTAAAGGTAAGTAGAGCCCACCCCTGCGAGAAACCTATATATGCTTGCTTGAAATTGCAGTCAGGGTTCTTCCAGACTTATAGGAGAACCCACCTTTGTTCAGCACTGAATAAACATGTATTAAGAGAGAGAATCTGGACTCTATCTTTTAATTCATTCCAAGACACACCCAGTTCCCTGTTTAACAGTTCTCAATGCACCCCATGTGTATTTAACTTTCCAGGTTTTACTGATGTTAAGGGAAACTCTAAGAAGGTTGTGGTAACATCTTAATGTATTGGCAGGTGAAATTTAAAACAGCCTGAGGGCAGGAGGTAGTGAAAGAAATATGCAATAATGGGAATATAACACTTTATAGGTAAACAGGCAAGCATAAATGAATTTTCACTCTAGGTTTTGGAAAAGAAGATTTACTAGGGAGATAAACCTGGAGAATAGCAATAGCACTTAGACTTATATACCGCTTTACAGTGCTTTACAGCCCACTCTAAGCGGTTTTTACAGAGTCAGCC